TTGCCCTTCTTACCACCATCCATGCCCATGAGGCTTTCCTAGTTGAGGCTCCATTGATGGAGCTCTTATCAAGGCCACCAGTGGCCCAAACCTTGCAAAGCTAATGGCTGATTCTCTCTTCTGTCCACTTGTCTTCTCGGGACTCAGTGGAAACTCAGTGTATGAAGGGCCAAAGTTCTCATGGACCTGCACCTGTCCCTACATTTCTTTCAGCTTCTCCAGGCATCTCTGCCACTGGCCTGGCCTTGTTTTCCTGCGGCTCCCTGGCTGCACCTTCTTAGTTCTTCCTTTTGGTGCTGGAGGGGCCAGGCTCTGACGATCCCTCGCCCCCTGCGGCACCCTCTTAGGCACAGACCTGAGGTGAACCGACCAGTGCCTCTCCAACCCAGACTTCCTCTCTGAGTTCCTGAGGCAACCCTGCCTGGGTTTCAAAAAGACATCTTAAAAAATAAAATGGCCGCAGTAGTCGAATGGATTTTTTTAAAGGTGTTTATTTTACTTAAAAGGCAGAGTTACAAAGAGAGAGGGAGAGGCAAAGATCTTCCATCCACTGGGTCATTCCCAAATGGCTGCAACAGACAAGGCTGGGCCAGGGCTAAACGAGGAGCCAGGAGCCCCGTTCCTAGTAGTGGCCACATGAGTGGTAGACGCCTGAGTACTTGGTAGCAAGTAGGATCAGAAGCAGAGCAGCCAGGACTCAAACCAGCACTCTGGGGTGGGAGGTTTATATGGCAAGAGGCTGCAGAGCAAGGTCGGCCCCTGTAGTTGATTTTTAACCCAACCCACCCAGCCCCTTCATTATCTTCCTCATCTTCATCAATGACAGCACCATCTAGCTCATGCTTCAAGGTGACAAGACATGGGAACATCCTTGATTTTCTCTCTTCTTACCACTGCACTTGCAAATCCATCCATAAACCTATTGGCTCTATCTCTAACCTATGTCTCCAACCCAGCCACATGCCTCAATGCTATCTCCCTCACCTACACTTGAAGCATCTTGCATTGGGACTGCCACCAAAGGGTATCTAAGCCCTGCCTTGCTGTCGTCTGTCTGCCCTGCAAGACACGCAAGACAGAGCCACATGCCTTTGCAGCTCAGAGCCTCGCTGTGGCCCTCACTGGAATGACAGAGAAATCCAGACCATCTGCTGAAGCTTCAGAGCATCTCATGTCTCTGCCTGATATCCTTCTGCACTCCCTGTGAGCCACAAGGCTCCTCCCGGGCTGCTCTTGTCTCATGGCCTTTACACCTGCTGTTTCAGGTGGAAGGTCTTGTTGTAGTCCTGCAGCGTGTATCCAGATGGAAGCTGTCTGTGCCCTGTGTGTGTGCTGTCCTGGGTGGCGTAGCCCCCTAATCTTCCACTCCCCGCCATGTCCAACCTGCTGTGGGGTTGAGTGGCAACTGAGGGTCAGTTGGAAATGTTCCCATGGCAACATACCTACTGCCCCTGTTGCCTTGTCTTGTGTGAAGCTGCCTCCGCTAAGCCTGGGCAGGACTTGGCTCATGAAAGCTCAGTCTATACCTGCCGGCCAGTCTACTGACTGTGAGGATGACAGCGAAGATCACCAGAGTTGGAAAGAAACAGGGCAACCCAGATGGGGAAACAGAGGCACAAAGAATCAGCTGTGGGCCTCCATGATAGTCTAGTGGGTACATCCTCACCTTGAATGTGCCAGAATCCTATATGGGCACTGGTTCATGTCCCAGATGCTCCAGCTCTCTGCTTGTGGCCTGGGAAAACCTTGGAATCCTGTACCCACATGGAAGACCTGGAGGCAATTCCTGTATCCTGGCTTCGGATCAGCTTAGCTCTGGCCTTTGCAGCCACTAGGGAATTAAATCAGCAGACAAAAGATATTTCTCTCTGTCTCTCTTCTCTATATATCTGCATTTCTAATAAAAATAAATAAATCTTTAAGAAGAGAGAGGGGGCCCAGCATAGTAGCCTAGCGGCTAAAGCCAAGCGGCTCACCTTGAATGCACCAGGATCCCATATGGGTGCTGGTTCTAATTCCGGCAGTCCCACTTCCCATCCAGCTCCCTGCTTGTGGCCTGGGAAAGCAGTCAAGGACGGCCCAAAGTCTTGGGATTCTGCACCTGCGTGGGAGACCCGAAAGAGGCTCCTGGCTTAGGATCAGCACAACTCTGCCCTTTGAGGTCACTTGGGGAGTGATTCAATGGATGGAAGATCTTCCTCTCTGTTTTTTCTCCTTTCTGCATATCTGACTTTGCAATAAAAATAAATAAATCTTTAAAAGAGACAGAGAGAGAGAGAGAGAGACAACGTCACCTGCCCAGCCGCAGGGACACCTACTTATCCAAGCCAAGTTGGCCATGCCCATCCTGGGTCCTTTTTCATAACCCACAGCAGCCACTAAAGGCAAGGAGTAGATATTTTCACTGCCAACTTATCGTGTGATCAGATCTTAGAACAAATTCTGCTGCCCATGCACATTTCATAAAGGAAACATTTATTAGTGAGTAACTACAAACCGGTTCCTACATCCTTGTCTCTGCCAAATTTAGCCAGGGCCCAGCTCTCTTTAGCAGCTCGGCCATCTTGCAGGACATATCTGCTCGAGGAGCAGCATCTGGTTACAGAGATGGCTGCAACTGCGAACTCCTGCAGCCTTGAACCCACCGCATCTTTCCGGGTGAGAGCCAGCAACTTTGAATATGGAAAGAGTAGCATCAAAACCATTTCAGAGCCCAGCACAGTGGCCTAGTGGCTCTGGTTCTTGCCTTGCATGCACAGGTTCTATTCCATATGGGCACCGGTGCTAATCCCAGCAGCCCTGCTTCCCATCCAGCTTCCTGCTTGTGGCCTGGGAAAGAAGTCGAGGACGGCCCAAAGTCTTGGGACCCAGCACCTGAGTGGGAAACCTGAAGGAGGCTCCTGGCTTTGGATTGGTTCAGCTCCAGATGCTGCAGTTACTTGGGGGAATAAATCAATGGATGGAAGATCTTCCCCTCTGTCTTTCCTCTTCTCTGTATATCTGACTTTGCAATAAAAATAAGATAAATCTTTTTTTAAAAAAACATTTTAACCAAACTCTATATATCTTTTCACCAAAGGAGAGCTCAATAGTCATATCTGTGATGCTTATTTAAAAAATAAAACATTTATTTTATTGGCAAGGCAGATTTATAGAGAGAAGGAGAGGTAGAGAAAGATCTTCCATCTGCAGGCTCACTCTCCAAGTGGCCACAATAGATGGGGCTGAGCCAATCTGAAGCCAGGAGCTTCTTCAGGGTCTCCCAACGAGTACAGGGTCCCAAGGCTTTGGGCCATGCTCAACTGCTTTCCCAGGCCACAAGCAGGGAGCTAGAACGTGTGGCTCTTATCAACAAGCCCCACCCACCTGGCCAGCCAATTTTTCAGCATTTACTGGCACTCAGGAAGGACAACTGAGCAAGCGAGATCTGACAGCCTCACTCTCCCCCACTGCTTTCACATCAGTGATGGAGGCCAGTGGGGACTACAACCTGAAAAATCACCTGAGGAGCTGTTTAATCACCCTGACTGTGGGTCCCTGTTGGAAGAGAGTCTGCGTTGCTCAGGTTGGGGTCGGGAAACCTGAAGATGTTTACAGTTCATAGGAGCTGGGGTCACATGCACCCCTGTAGGTGACAATGTAACAGTCCTGGCCATAGGTCATGGCAAAGCCTGGGTTCACGGCAAGGCCTGCTGACCCCCACAGCCTGGAGCTCTTGGCAAGAGCGGGGAGAAGTGGAACATAGGTCTGCAGCTCCGACGTCCTGGGGTCTGCAGTCGTAGCTCTGAGAGGCGCTGGAGCTTGGGACTGGGGTTCAAGGTCATGGGTGGGAGGATAAGGGCATCAGTCAGCTCCCCACCCCAAAGAGCTCCCCACAGGAGCCACAGGAAGGCCAGGAGCGGCCCTCGGAAGGTGGAGCAGGACAAGGTGCTGAGCTGGCTCTTGGAGGACTAGGGTGAGCAGCCAGCTCCTAGGGAGCGAGTACAAGACCAGCCCTGTGGACCTGGTACTGGCAGACGCCCCCAACAGGAGCAACAAGTGGACTGTTGTCCTAAGAGGACAGGAAGGCCAACTTAGAGCACCACCTAGCTGGCTCCTTGACCCCTGGTTCCTTGTTCAAAGGGAACATGATCCAGTCTCTTTGGGACTACGCCCCTAGCTGGGGAACCCAGGGCAGGGCACTTGAACAGGGGTGCTATTCCTGAAGTCACCACCAGGGACCCCACCCAGCACTGCTGGAGCTCTTCAACTCCCAGCCATGCATTTCATTACCTCATGCCAGAAATACAGATGGCCAGGTTCACGAGTACCAGGAGGAGCAAGACCGGGGAGCCAGGAAACAAGGCGAGAAATAGCACGGGAGGCAGACTCACAGCCTCCTATGACCTCGGTGTCTGTGGGAGGGGCACCGGCTGGGTGTGTGCCAGGGGTGTGTGCTTATCTCACCTGGCTGCAGGACAGCGCTAGGGGTGGCTTCCAGGAAGCCCCTGGGGGCGGGGAGGAATAGCAGCTGGTCCCCAAAGAAGGGGATTTCCGAGATCCCTTGGGGCAAAGGCCTGGAGCTGACCTGGCTGCATGGGGGCGCTCTGCCTCCCCACTCCACACCACTTCTCAGGCTGGGTGACTCCGCTTCCTTGGTGCACCTACTTCAGACATGTTCTTGTGCACTTTCAACACCTGAACGTTGCACTCCGCCCGCTTTCCCACAGCCTGCCGACGACAGTGGCTGGGTCTCTGGGTTCCCCGACTGGACTCGCGGGCCGTCTTTCCAGCTCACCTCTCGGCCCTGTTCTCCACGCGCCCCGGCAATTCTCTGGCTACACCAGAGCTCTTCTGTAAAGCCCTCGCCCCTTCCCCTCCCTCTCGCGTCCCTGGCCACAGCCCCGCCCCGGCCCGCCTCCTCCCAGAGGCTGGGCCATTGGCTCGCTCCCATTGGCCGCCGGCTGCCGGACAAGGGCAGTGATTGCCGAGCTGCGGTGTCAGTCCCGGAGACAGAGCGCCCGGGCCGGGCGGGCAGCCGGGCAGCCGCAGGTGGGGCCTCAGGCGGTGGCAGAGGGACCGAGCCAGAGCTGGGGAGCCCCGGAGCCCCACGCGGGGAGCGCCAAGGATGCCCCGCGGGGACTCGGAACAGGTGCGCTACTGTGCGCGTATCTCCTACCTCTGGCTCAAGTTCTCGCTCATCATCTACTCCACGGTGTTCTGGGTGAGTGACTGGCAGGGCCCAGAGATGGGGGAGGGAGGTGCGTGGAGGTCCCCACCGCTCGACCGCCTCCCCTCCTCGGAGTTTTGGTCCAGACCGTGCCTCTTCATGGAAGGCGCTGGGAACCCTCTCTGGCGCGCCTCGCCCTGCTCTCCCTGACAAATGGGGAAGTCTGACCGCTGAACTCAGCTGCCCCAGAGGGAATGTTTGGGCCCTCGTGCGACACGTGCGACACGTGGCTTACCTGTGTGCTCCTGATGCGCCTATCGGGTCATCTGCTCAGGATGCCAGACATCAGCGGGCTGGCTCAGTAGGCAGAATGGGCACTGGCCGCAACTGCATACCTGCGCTACGGACATTTCTCGCCTCACCGGAAGCTTTGTGGGGGTACCAGGTCTAGTCGACGCCTTTTACATTGCTTCTTCTGTGCCTCTTGGTTTCCTCTTCCTGGGAAAACTCACCGGGCTTTTGCTGTGAAGCCCTACGCAGAATGGCTCAGTTGCTTGGGGCTCCCCTTCCCTTGGCTCTGCCAGGGGGTAGGGTAGCAGTGGTTGACCACTCACCCCCACTTCAAATCTTGGGCTTCCAACTCTGGGGCCGAGTGACCTTGGGGAAGTCCCTTCATCTGTGGATGCAAACCACCATGATTTCCAACTTTGAGGACACCTGTGGAAACTAAAGGCCCTAGGCCACGTGCAGTGCTGAGCCAACACCATTCAGGAGCCGGGAGAGAGTGAGAGCCAGGATTCTCAGTGTGGGCAGGAAGTGTGGACACTCATGGTGTGATCTGGGTTTCTATCAGGCTGGGATGGGCCATCACATAGACACAGGGACATCCTTCTACAGGCTAGCTCCTTCTGCCAGTCTAGAATGGTTCTCTGTCCAGCTTGCCACATGGGGTCCTGGCTCAGGGAAACTGGCCACATCCACTACCACCCAACTCTCTGGTTCAGCTCTGCTAGCTAACGGGAGCTGCTGAACTTGCCATCAGCCTGGCTTTCCTGGTGGGCATGACCTTGTCTGGTGGTCTAGAAGTACAGATTCTAGACCTGCCCCACTGGGCTTCAAGTGCTGACCGACAGGTCGCCTGGGCCCAGCTTCTGGGCCAAATTTGGCTCTGGTTAAAGTGGGAGAGAAGTGAGCACAGTGGCTGTGAGTCTAAGCCGTCATCGACAGACACTCCTGGGAGCTCAAGGTCCTGCTTGGGGCTTGGAGTGGGGTGATCTGAGCTCTAGTCCCATGGTTCCCAGTCACCATTGCATCAGAAACCAGTGAAGAGTTTAAAAACACGACACTTCAGATTCCTGTGCCCTGGCACAGTGGTTTATTTCAATTTACTGGAGCTCCCCACTCCTGCGTATTGAAATCACATGGCAGATTATGGTTGTCTCCTTACACACTCTGGTGTTCTCCGTTGGCCCTTGCTTGGCCTTGCGAGCTCTCCTTGCTGTGGGTCAGAACGGAAAGGAGGGGCGGGAGCCATGGCATGGTAGTAGATGAAGCCTCTGCTTGCAGTGCAGGCATCTATCTCATACGTGCCCATTCAAAGCAGTTGCCAGCTGCTTCACCTATGATCCAGCTCCTGCTAATGTACCTGGGAAAGCCATAGAAGATGTCCCAAGTGCTTCAGCTCCTGCAGCCACATGGGAGACCAGGAAGAAGCTCCTGGCTCCTGGACTTGGATCCGCCCACTCCAACTGTTGCAGCATTTAGGGAGTGAAACAGTGAATGGAAAATCTGTGTTTGTCTCCTCATTCTGTAATTCCACCTTTCAAATAAAAATAAACAAACCTTAAAAAAAAAAGCATGAAAGGAAAGGCAGAGGTGTTGGTGGATGGGAGGGTAGGAAGGTGAGAAGGTGAAGGTTACATTGCTGGTATGTAAACCCTCCCTCAGCTTCCTCGCACTTTTGTTTCCTCATTTGTGAAAAGGGGAAGTGATCTCCTGCTCTGTCCCTCACTGGATTGTCTTGGGGACCAGTGACATGCGAAAAAGTCGCTGTCCTGTCCACTACCTCACTTTTCCTGGGCAGGGCAGGACTCCTTTTCGGCCAACTGAGGTTGCCTTTCAAATCCTTGCCTCCCATAGCTGGAAGTATTTCACTTAAAAGTCCTCCCAGCCCTGCCAAACATGCAGCACCTGCCAACGCTGCCCAAGCTGGCCTGAGGGTGAGGCTCAGTGTGAGTAATTTGTCCTGGACAGAGTCTGCTGCTAATTGGAAACCATTTACAGAAAAACCCAATAGTTCCGGTGCCCGGGCCGGTGCCATCTCTCTGGAGGAGGGAGGAAGACAATGGTTGCACTTCCCAGGGTGTAAGACTCATGGGTTGGTCTGAAGGGGGCTGCTGTGAGTTTTCCTGTAGCCATGCGCATTCTGTAAGTTTTTTGCTTTAAAAGTTATCCTGAACAGGAAACATATGGGCATGGCAAAAAAGCCAGAGGAGAACATGGTGACTTATGACACATCTGCCCTTGCCTTCATCCATCTGGAGCTGGGGTGATGGGGACCCCTGTCATTTCTTCCTTGCGGTTCTTTTCTAAAATATTAATGAGTTAACTGATTTGAAAAATCGGAATTACACAGAGAGAAGGAAGGAGAGAGAGACAGATTTTCTATCCCCTGGTTCACTTTCCAAATGGCCACAATGGCCAGGGCTGGATAAGGCAGAAGCCATGAGCTTCTTCCAGGTCTCCCACATGGGTGCAGAGGCCCAAGTATTCGCATCATCTTCTACTGCTTTCCAAGGTGCACTCTCGAGGAGCTGGATCAGAAGTACAGCAGCCAGCTCTTGAGCTGGCGCCCGTATGAGATGCTGGTGTTGGAGGTGGTATTTAAATCTGATACACCACAATGCCAGCCCCTCTTGAGGTTCTTACTTAGGTTATCCAAGGTAAAGAATGTCCAGGCACAACATACGTCTCTCTATATAGGTGCCATGCACAGCGTTGAGTCTGGCCCCTAGCCCCTCACTTTTTCCTTTACATCTAAATCCCAGTGCAGTTTGTAGAGCTGAGGAGAGTTGCCTCGCTTGGTTTCATAACTGCAGAGGCTTTGCGGTGGGCCCCTACAGAAGTCTCTGTGACAGGTCCCCAGCTGGGAGCCTCTGAGGATGTTTCTAATTGCTTGTGGTTGTGACCTGCTGCAGCAGGCATCTTAGAAGGCACATAGGTGTGCATAGGTGTGTGAATCTGCAGGATAATTCCCAGAGTAGAGCTGCTGGCTTGAGAGGTGTGTGAGTGTGCAACACACATGGAAACATGCTGAATGTGAGTGTCCCCAGGCACACATGCTTGGATCATGGGTCTCTGGCTCAGCCAGCAGAGTGCATGGTGGGAACTACAGCCCCTTTTACCCTACTGAAGGTACTACCCCTTCCCTACATGTAATTGCATTGGAGCTTCCACCAGTGGAGAGTAGCTTTGCTAGGTTTTGCCTGTACTTTTTTTTGTTGCTTTGCATATACGTTTAGAATTCCAATGTTAAAATTACCTACTTAGATAGTATAGCCATGATAATATTGTTTACATATTTCTTTTAAAAAATTGCTTTATTTGAAAGGCAGTGAAACAGGGGGTTAGAGATAGACAGGAAGAGATCTGTTCACTGGTTCACTCTCCAGATGCCTTGGATACCTGGGCCAAACTGAGTGAAACCGAGAGCTTGGAACTCAATCTGGGCCTTCCATCTGAGAGGCACCCAAGTGCTTGGGCCATCACCTGCTGCCTCCCAGGGTGTGCATGAATGGCAAGTGAAGCAGAACTGAGCTGGAATTTCAACCAGGCACTGGAAAAATGGGACAGAGACCTTTCAAGTGGCTTCTTAACTGTGGTGCCAAATGCCTGCCCACTGTATGTCTTTATTTAAAGTGACTGTTTACATTTGTTTTGTAAAGGAGGCATTCTGTCACTACCGCCATTGGGGAGCCAACACCCCTCATTGTAGCTAGCAGGTAGCAGTTAAAGTAAATATAGCCCAGAGTCCTAATTTCCTGGTGAGCGGTGTGGGTGCCGCGGGCTAGGACAAAGGCACCCAACCCTGTTCCAATGGCAGGTTGGTGAGTGCCCAGCACCTTTGGGAGCAAACTAGCACCAAAACCAAGGTCTGCTCCTTGGTGGGTCAGAGGGCCCAGAAGGGAATTGAATGAGGAAAAAGTCCTCCTTTGTGGGCATTTAAGTGTGACTTTGACCACAGTGATAGGGAGCCCTCTTGTTTTCTGAGGAGGGGGGACGCAGAATCCTGAGAGAATGTTATTCTCAGGTCCCAATCCTGTGCTCCTGTTTGCATCCCACAAGAAAGAAGCCCAGGCAGAGGGATACAGAGCCTGTTTGCACCCTGACACTGGTGCCCTCAGCCTGTTGGGGACACACCGCTAATTTTAGCACTGCCCGGGGTATCCTGGAGCTCTGGTTACATGCCTCTTTCCTTGCTGGGCTGCAGGCTTCTGGAGGACAGGTTAGTTCAGTCGTGAATGCCAGGACTGGGGCTGGGCATCCAGGAAGTGTGCCAGGGCGACGGACCTCACCTGTACATACGAGGTGGGGCTCCAGCCCTTGCTAAAGCCGAGCTGAGAGTGTAGTCAGCAGTGGTCAGGTCGCTGGGCTCATCACGGAGACTCTGGTTCTTAGGAAAGCACTAGGCCTGTGGTCTTGATAAGAGGGTAAGAGTCTTGGGGCTGGTCAGGTTTACTAATCTAGAGAAGCAGCCCGTAGGGGTGGAGGGCCAGGAGGGAGCGGGGGGAGTGGGTAGTGTTGGAATAGTGTGTGCCAGAGGCAGTGTGACTCTCTTGCCTTCTCCAAGGTTGCACCTGCTTAACAGAGCTTGGCCTGGGATTCTTTATAGTTCCCTATAGTTTAAAAGAGTAGACTATGTGCCCAACTGTCTCGGTTTGAATCCCAGCTCTGGTGCTTATGAGTTAAGAGAAGTGGGCACAAACTTCCATGTGCCTGAGTTTCCTTGATAGGAATGCCGAGAAGGTGAAATGGCTTGGCAATTAGGGATTGTA